AAATTGCAGAATCGCGCCGAAACGATTTTGAAGGATACAAACGGATTTGCACTAAAATAACTTATAAATTAATTAAACAAACCTTTTTGGGACTGTGTAAGTATTTAAACCTAAAGTTTAGTCTAAATGAAGACGAATACTAAACTAATTTCCTCAACGTTATTTCAAGCTTCAAATTTGAACAAAGTTCACCTTGGTCCATTTTTGACCCTGTGGATTTCTGAAAAAATCAGAACTACCCAGTTTCAGTTAAAAATATGTCAAATTTCACTTGGGCCCTTGGTAACTTCACATCAAGTAAAAATGACGTAATTTTTTGAACGCCATGTTTACTTTCGGAACCTCTTTATTGTTCATAGTAAATCCAGTAGTACGAGTTATCGCCTATGTTTACTTTGCTACATTGTGAATACACAGAAGGCATTCTATCGTTAAACCGGGTCCGTAGGACATTTATCATTTTAACGATAGAACATAGTTTGAATATGCCCAGGGTACGGTATATCCGTATAACGAATTTTACCATATATAGCGAATTTGCAATATGCATATTTTTCTTCAAGTATTACTACCAAATATGTTGTGGAAGCAAATATTACAAAACATACCTTAGATAACTAAGGTTTTGTTGAATTTTACATGTATATACAGAAGCTAACAGAAATTAAAGTCAGGACGACCTATTTAATCTGAAGTTCCTTATAAAAGATGTAAATTTCATTGCATTTAACCTCAATGGGACTCAAAATCAGTTCGCTATATCCGTAAATTCGTTATATCAGAGTTCGTTATAACCGTAAAATTTTACAAAGATTTGTTAAGAATTTTGCCGGGGACCTAGAAAAACTTCGCTATATCCGTGAATTCGCTATATCCGTGTTCGTACTAAATGAGTTTTACTGTATTACCAGTCAACATTACCAATCAACAATACCTGTCAACATTACTAATCATCATTACCTGTCAACAAAACCAATCAACATTACCTGTCAACATTACCTGTCAACAAAACCAATCAACATTACCTGTCAACATTACCTGTCAACATTACCAGTCAACATTACCAATCAACAATACCTGTCAACATTACTAATCATCATTACCTGTCAACAAAACCAATCAACATTTCCAAACAACAACAATACCTGTCAACATTACCAATCAACATTACCTGTCAACATTACCAATCAACATTACCTGTCAACGTGTATCCATTTTTGGCATCTGGATGTTGAGTCTGTGCAAACATCCATCCCATGATTCCTCCAATGGTAACCAATGAGCGCATATTTCCCTCCATTTCTGGAGGTATGCGGCTGACGGCAGTGTAAGCTCTCCCGTCTCTCGACACAATGTATATATGCATGTCCAGATTAGCTACAGGGCTTCCGTTCAGTTCTCCATAAACCTTGCCATTCAATCGCTGAGGCTCTCCTACAAAACACTCATAATAAGTATTAATGGGAAAAATTCAGTGTCAAAAAACATTTATGTTTATCATTTCTAAGTACAAATCCTTTACGTTTGTTACAGTATTGAACAGTCAAGCACCTTTAAATTTTCACTAATGCCTATAGTTAAAATTACTTAAACAAAATTTTCATTTTTGACCCACTATGTACCAGGGGTATACAAGGGGTTTAAAATCCTTTTCAATATCATTTACATCTGACATAAAGATTGAATTTTTTTTATGTACATCTATTTTCTTAACAAGACTTCTGAGAAATCAAATTCAAAAAATTGCATTAAAAAAAAAACAAATTGTGACACGATAGCGGTGTTTTTCTTTGAAGTTTACTGTTCTGTATTAGCAATACAGAACGGGACTGTGGTGGGCGGAGCTACTTTTCGTTCTGTATTAGCCCTGTATACAGTATTGTATTTGCCAACTATTCTGTATCTAAAATACAGCACGATCTAAAAATAAATCTGATTCAATTTAGCAAAAGCACGTACAAATAGTAAATACTGATGTTTTCCTACTATAAATTTAAACCCGGTATTTTCCTAAGAATGTAAAATGTCAAAATTTCTCAATCACTTTTTAAAAACTTATTCCACAGAATCTACACGTAATTTCGATACAAACTAAAAGGAAAATTCGCAGTAACGGAAAACATCCTCTACAGATCCAAACGAAATGGAAAATTCGCAACAACGGAAAACATCCACTCATCTCGTGCAAAATTATTCAAGTCCATTTTTTCCGCGTTTTTATTTTTAAAAATCCTTCTCGCTGACGACAGCACATGTCTCTTTCACTTTGTTTTTTAATGTCGCAATTCAATTAGAAAATAAAAATCAGTGACATCAAAGTCCATCGAAGAATTTTCTGTAAATCCTGTTTTAGTAAATCTAGTTACACTGGGATTTTAAGACCCCTGAAATATATTATGATCAATCTCCATCTACAATAGATCACAACAATGGCGGTTAAATTCTCCACCTTATCCATTAAGACTACTATGACTTGATTACGTCTACCCTGTTAAATTGTCAAAACTAATCTGACCGAATTTTACATTTTCCGTGGAAATATATATATACTGCGGATGCGTACTCCCCGTCGGGGCCTCAACTACAAAACTCTGGCGGAAGTTTGGATGCTGCAAAGTTATAAAGTGGGCGGGACTATTTTTGATTGATTGTGTCACAAATCATTTAGAGAACTTGACAGGTTCTGTATCATAGATACAAATTTGGGGGTGGACGAGTGCGTAGCACGATAGAGAACGATACAGAACCCGTCTCATTCTCTAAATAATACTTAAGGACTACTTTATCATATGGACCCTTTAATGTCATTTAGAACACTGACCCATCTCCAGACAGCTGATCCCGTTGCCATAGTAATTATCCAAACACTTGCAGCAGTAGCCGAGGGGGTAGTCCACACACTGGGCGTTCAGGTCGCACTGCTTGGTTCCCTCTGTGCAGGTTTCTGTCGTCGGCTCAAAAATCACCACTAAAATAAAGAAGAAAAGGTCATAAAGGAATCTTAGAAAAGTTTATGTTTATCAGAGATATTAATTTTTCTTTATTGATACCTTAAGGATACACCAAAGCCTTTTCTTGAGATTTTTGTCGATTCAGATTTTTGGCAGAGAAAAGGAATTTATTCATAGCTTTATAATGCATAAAAATTCTTGTTGATTATGAAATGGAGAAAAAAATTATAAAAAGTCTTAAAAGAGTTTATGTTTATGTTTATCCTTGAGATATCAATTTTTTTAATTATTACAAGAGGCCCATGGGCCTTATAGGTCACCTGAGTATCATGCGACAACTTTCCAACAATTGAATTTGATTCATGTTTTAAACTAGAGGCCATGAAATTCACAATTTTGGAAGACGCACCATTGCTTATCATGATTATACACTGAAGCATAACTTATTTCCCGTTAGGGGCTTAATAACAAAGGTAGATCACGAGTAACAAATTGAAAATCTTTGAAAATACTTTTAGTATTAATTTAAGGGCTGGGACAGCTTCTTATGTTAGAGGCAGGTAAACAGTATAAAAAGAGCTTAATCCCAATTTTGGAATCACTGACTCTGGGGCCACATCTTTACATAAATTTTAATTTTTAAAAATTAATCTTATGCTGTTGATTAATACCAAAGTGCAGATTTCAAAGCATTAAATTTTTCAACTATTTGTAAAATTCAAAAAGTACAGGGGCCAGGAAGTTAACCATTTTTGGAAGAAGCAGTTTTTTTTGTCATAAATATATACTAAGATCCTTGGCATTATACCCAACAACAAAGGAAAAGATTTTCAAAGAATTCATGCATTTTCTATATATAAACTATATAAACAAGCATTTCTGCAACACAAGGGCAATAACTTTTAAATTCAAAAATCTCAAAGAGGCATGAATTGAATCTTTATAAATATGTGCATAGTTCATGGTTAATGATGCTAAGACAGTTTGTATATGCAGAGAAAGAAGATATAAAAAGAATTTATGCATTTTCAATATATAATGACCTAAACCTTTGCCCTAACACCAGAACCCCCAACTCAGGGGCCATGAAATTCACAATTTTGGAAGATAGTATAATACTCTATAACTATGTACAAAAGTTTTTGAATTTAATACTGTAAAAGAAAAGTTTCAAAGAAATAATTCATTTTTTGTGTCACATAATCTATATGGCCCAATCCTAGCACTAGAACCCCTCCATGAAATTCACAATTTTGGAAGAGAAGCCTTATTCAACATAGCTATGCACTTGGTTAGTTTCAAATGGAGTAGCGAGAAGAAGCATTTCTTTCGAATTTTTGCATTTTAACTATATAAGCTACATAGCCCCCGTTGGGTAGAACACTGACCCATCTCCACCCTACCACTAGAAACCCTGACTCTAACTTTAAATGACACAATTTAGAAGAACAAAAAGTCTTAGAAAAGCATAAATGCACTTGGTTAGTTTATTTAATCAGCCACAAACAGAAAAGAAGAATTTTCAGAAAGAATTTATGTCATTTTCACCTTTATAATGTATATCCTTGTCAATTGAAGCAAAAAAAAAAAAAATAATAAAAAAATAAATAAATCAAATTTTAAAAAGTGCTGCCAGCATTTTCAACTTACCTTATTGCCAGGCGAGTTTACTTAATGCCACAGGCTCCGATGAAATTGTTTTCCGTAAAGAATTTAGAAAAAAAGAAATGAAAATGCATTTTCACTATACATAACACTGTATTTAGCCCTGTTTGTGATGGAACATAGAGAGGAATAATGAATAGTTCTGAGAGAAACGAGTGGTGGATAATGAAAATGGAAATTTCCTATTAAAAAAAAATCATTTGAGTTTGATGTTTGAATAGATCAGGAGTTAATCATAAGAATTTTGAAACATTCGAACTAATTTCGGCACTGTGTTTACAATTTGTGAAAATATAGGCCCCGTTTTGACAGGGACCATGGAAATTCACAATTTTTGATAATCATCTCTATTTCATTGAATAATGCTATATGCCAAATTTGGTTGAAATTGCATTTCATGAAGTGGTTTCAGAGAAGAAGCGTGCAAATTTATTTTATATGAAAAATCGCTATTTCCGAGTTTCAGCCGATTCATATTTAAATCTAAATAAAATTCAAATATATTACCATGACCTAAGAAAGCAAGAATTACTTGCTCCATTAAAATCCCCCAATCACCCCCAAAAATTCAATATATAAACTATACCTCCAGTGTCTCCTGTTCCAAATGAAGGCTCACCAACCCCCCTGCCATTCAACTTTCCAATGTTGAAAAAAAAATGACCAGATTTTGCCGATATTCACTAGAATTTCATTGTACTTTAAGACTCAGTTAAAACTTCAGACACTTTCTTTCAGGTCTCTTCTTCCTTTTATGTACGAAAATGTGTATTTCATTATAGTTTGAGCTTGTAGACATTTTCTACTAACTGGTGTCATTATTTTTTTTTTCAAAGGAAAGGGGAATTTTATAAGCATTTGTTTTGATGGTTGTAAATAACTCCAGACCTTAAGCTTGATACATGATATAGATTTATCTTTGGGGTTAAAGGTCAAGGTCATTTAGAAGGAAATAAGGTCAAGGTCATGCAAAAGAACATGAGAGAGAGAGAAAGAGATAAATTACAGATTAACACTTGAAGCTTTCCAGATAAAGGTAATGAATACTTTCTTTTTAACCTTTTGACTTGGGTCAATGTCAGAGGTCAAGGTAATGTCAAATTTCAAGGTCAAATCAAGGTCATTTGGATTTTCAGCTTAAATTGACCATTTCTCTAGTTTTCCAAAACCTTGACCTTTGACCTTGACCTACTTTTCAAGGTCAAAGGTCATAAGATCCATGCACTTGGTCCCACTATCTTTACCACTTGTCCTTTAAAAGTTTTTAATTTTTCTTGTCAGCTTTAAGACTTTCAGGGGCAATAACTCATTGAAGGAGTCACCGAATACTTTTGCAATGAATAGATTCCAGAGTCCTCTCAATTAATCCAAGACATTGGTGAAGGTTTCATACCTCTACGGTTTACGGTTTCAAAGGAGTAGCGATAACAAGACATTTCTTGCAAAAGGGGCAATAACTTTGAAAGGGGTAAATCAGTATCAAACATGGATTGTCGTTTTTCGGAATAACTTATATAACAATATCATGAACTACAAAGTTTTTCGATAAATGTCATCTATCAAAAGTCCGGGAACAATAATAATGAAATTTTTCTCCACAGAAAGGTGGAAAGACTTATTGTTCAAAGAACAATAAGAGGTCTTTCCACCTTCTGAATTTCAATTTCATTAATAATTTATCTCTTTAAGATAAAATTTCATAAAAAAGAAACCAGGAATGGCTTAAAAGAAGAAAAAAAATAAAATTTAAATTTTTTCAGGTGACCTTGACCTTTGAACTTCAAATCATATTCAAGGTCAAAGGTCAAGGGTCACATTGTAATTAAAGCTATCAGGAGTTTTAAAGTTATAAGGTTGAATAGTAAAAAAACATTGTAACTAAACAGACTTTTATTGCATTTGCGTTTGCTCATAAAAGTTTTAAATTGGACAGACAATAGAGAAGTTTTATGTCTTTTTGGTTTAGGTGAGCAAATATGTTTTTTGCACAAGCAATCTCCCTTAACATAGGTTTAACAAGCTTAATAAGGGAAATAACGAACAGTATTCAATCTCAAGTGGCCAGGCAAACAAGATCTGTGTAGTAATTGAAACATCAGGTGCCATGGAGGAGTGAGCATCCCCCAGACTTCAACACATTTGACCGATAATCACACCCGCCGTGTGCTCATTGTCATAATCTTTGAATGTAACGGAAAAAATCCGTAGTCAATTCAGTGTATAAATATGGACTAACAATTGGTATGAAAAATTCAGCATTTCATTCAATGATAAATTGTATTTGCTGACAAGGTCATTGTATCGACCATAGAATTTACGAAATGATGACTTTAAACGAGACTGTTGATATTCTTGTTTCATCAACTTGCTTGTCAATAATTTTCGTTTAAGAAATTGTTCATACGTAGAGCATGCTCTTGCGTATCGAATCAATGAGATATACATCTCCGTATGCAGGTGATGAAGGTATATTGGGGGGGGAAGTTGACGATAGAAAAGTTAAAGCACGTTTATCATAAAATTCAAATTCAAACATGTAGTTGCATGTGCATTTTGATTTTTTTTTTAACACAAACATAAATCAAGGACAACAACAAAAAAAAAATTACTAAAATAATTTTAGGCATTGAGTGAATATTTTATATATTTCCGCAGAAGATCATAAATCTTCATGCAATTTAAAAAGCAAATACTGCATTTGTATGCATGAAATTCCACATATTGTGGAATACCTGACTGATATAATTTTTGACAAAAACTTTTTTTTAAAATTTTTATAAATGATGTCCATCAGAAACTCAAGCATCTTTTGATGATTGGTATCAACTTCAGAGTACTTATGTGTACAATCAGAATCTGTTTTAACAAAATAATTTTTTGACCAATAACCAGGTAAGTAAACTTACGAGTTCCATTTTTGTTGAAGAAGCAGCTGTCAATGATATCAAAAAGCCTGGATTTTAAACGTGCGGAATTGTTAATATCCTCTTCAAAAGTCGTAAGTTTTTATGCTGTTGATTTTTGTAAAGTCTTGTGATTTCAATGATGCATAGACATTAAGTATATGTTGAAAAACAAAAGATATACAAAAAGAACTAAATTTCTCAGTTTTGGAATGACCTTGACCTTTGACCTTTACATGAATGAACAATTCAAACAGAAATCTTATGCAGTTGGTCCCATGTCTCTACGACTTCTCGTTTTGAAAATTTTTAATTATTTGTAAAATTCAAAAACTTTCAGGGGCAATTACTCATTGAAGGGGTCACTGAAGACTTTCACAATGAATAGATTCCACAGTGCTCTCAATTTCGAAGACTTTAGTGAAGGTTTCATATTTCTACAGTTTACGGTTTTTTCACTTAGTAGCGATAACAAGGTTTTTCGCACAAAGGGCGATAACTTTTAATGGGGTCAATCTTAATTTGGAATACGAATTTAACCTTTTAAATAGTTTTAAGATGTACATATTAATGATGCTAAGACAGTTTGTATATGCTAATGACAAAAAAGATATAAAATTAGCTTAAATTCTCAATTTTGGAATGATGATTTTTTATACCTTTGCAATAACTGACCAAAGGTCATGAATTTATGCAGTTGGTCCCATGTCTCTATCACTATCTCGTTTTGAAAATTTTTAATTATTTGTAAAATTCAAAAAGTTTCAGGGGCAATAATTCATTGAAGGGTTCACCGAAGACTTTCGCAATGAATAGATTCCAGAGTGCTTTCAATTAGTGAAGACTTTAGTGAAGGTTTCATATTTAACGGTTTACGGTTTCAAAGGAGTAGCGATAACAAGGTTTTACATAAAAGGGGCAAGAACTCCGTAAAGGGTCATAGGTCATATACGTTGGGTTGTTTTTCGAAATAACTTTTAATATCCAATACATGTATAAAGTTTTTCAGATGTACATATTGAGGATCTAAAAGACATAGCTTAACTAATAATAATAATAATAATAAACAAGAAGTATTGTCAACTGAAGTCATTGTTCTTTGTGAAAATATGAATGCAAATGACATCCTTTAATTTATCATAGCCTAATTTAATTAGGCTAATATGATGCTACACATGCTTTCTAACAAATTGTGTCATTCCATGTAGATTTCTGTTCATCCTAAATATTTTTATACTTAAGGACAATCAACTCTAACTTACTTAATATAGCTACCATGAAATTAAAACTCTTCAGTGTGATGCATTTAGAGCCACCTTAAACATGTTAAATAGGAAAGCTAGGTTCTTTACAAAGAAGATTTATAACATACAACTGGAAACTTATATCTTTTCTATTGTTATTGATTTTCTTAAAAAGTTTGCTATATGTACCTTCATACTTGACCTAATCTTACCTTTGTATTATTTTTGTCATAAAATCCAACATCCTCCCATGTAGCAATGAACAGATTTGTGGCCTTGAACTCCTTGTAACTTTGGAAATGACCTTTGACATCTGATGATGCTCTTTGTAATAAATTCTCATCTTGTGTTTGCCTGGCCAAAAAAAATCAATAATTAACCTCCTGAAAATTGTTATTCTTTATAAGGGAGAATAATAAAATAATGACTATGCCAAGAGCCTGAAAATCTTAAAGAGAAGATGTGAGAATCATTTAACAAGTAGCATGGTTAAATGTGCATAATAATAGTTTAATAATCTTAAATCCACCGATATCTCGCACTCAAACTAATGAGATTTGATCAAATCTACATAACTTAAGCATTTCTACAGCAAAATATTAAGACCCATCTCCCCTCCAAAGAAAACCATTTTACACACACTTAATTGATTCCATATTTCTCCATATGATCAATCTCACTTCAAATTTCTTTCAAGGTTTTTGTAAAAATAAATTTCACGAATATCTTTTGCTTTCTTGGAAACCAATTTACTCCAAAAGCAATTGTTCATTAACTTAGAGAGTGGCTGACCCAGTGTGGATATCTATACAAGTATATACCTGTAATACACACTTCCCGCTGTAGATGTATCTATGTCTGCAAGAAACACAGCAATTAATTTGTAATCGGAGGGTAGAGTCAGGGTTGGCTGGTAAACTGGCACCTCAAAGTCAAACGATATGTGTCCATTATTGTTGATCTGAAAACAAAAATGTACATCTTTAGTGTACAATGTGTTTGTTATTGTGATGCACATTATCTCAAAAGTTTGTGATTTGTGAATGAACCATCCATCATTCAAGTAAAACCACTGATCTAAAAAAGTTCCATGCATTCAAATTAATGTTTTCCATGAGATGCTTTTCTTGTTTTCTAATCAAGCTAATACACAGCCATTTAAGCAACAAATATGCAAAGAATATTGCATACATTTAATCTTTAAATGGTCAAAAAGGTCAAAAATGCCACTTATACTCTGAGCTTTACTTTAAAAGTAAGTTACAATAATTTTAGATAAATAAATCATTCTTTTTAAAATACAACCACTGAAAAGTATAAGTTGAGTGACTGATTGACCTTGGGGCTAGAACAATTAAGCTGCAATTATGTAGGCCTCTCCAATTTCTTTTATCTGATATTTTCTGGAGAGGGCTACAATTCCACAGCATCTTCATAATGGTGCAAATATATAATATATTACAAAAACATCGATAAATAAAACCATTTCAAGTGTTATTTTTGCGCAAACAGCG